GTCCACAGGAAGTGGTCACAGGATCTACCAGGAGATCCAAACAGATGGAACAGGAGATGGATTGTTCGTCCAACTGAGCTCGTTGCTCCATTTCACCTCAGAGTCACAGTAACTGTCAGTTTCACTTCCACTTGTCTTTAAGCTTAGTTAATTGTCTAATTCAGTTCACTCAGACAGCTCATGTAAATGTTTGATTTTTTATTTACTGCAAAAGGCAGTTTGAGTTTTGTGCTCCAGTCCGTCACTCTGTCATCATATTTCACAACATACCATGAGGTAATGAGAGCATTTCCACCCTCAACAGGCAAAGATTAGAGCCTGATATGGTTAGGTTTGGTCTTTAGAAGCAGCAGTGATGCAGCCGCTCCCTCTTAGCAGCATGAAATCAGGATATTTCCTGTATGATCTCATAAACTCATGTGCTCCTTGGACCACTGAAATCTTAACCAAACAAGCCACATGCAAGATAACCCAGAGAGACAGAGTCTCAAAATGTTTGATAGCAGAAAACAAACAACTTTATTCAATATATTAAATCTTGATCCATTAGAAAAACACTTCTTGTACACTCCGTAGATGAACCAATTTATGTCCAGTTAGTTCAATTCAATATATTTAATCATTTTATTACATTCATGCATTTACAGCCTGTTGAACAAAGTCAGGTTAGATTATCAATGTCGAACATGACTTCAGCTTTAACACACCGTCGAACAGCCAGCCTCCCAGCTGGACCAAACCAGGCCACACCAGGACAGGAGGGATGAGACCAAAACGTCCATCAAACCACCATCAGCTACAATAGCCAGGTCCGGAAGCTCCCTTATATCCACTCCAAATCTGCTCCTCCCCTTCCAGGACCCTAAAAGGAAGCAGACAACAGCAGCAGGGGCCTTCACATTGGATGAAATAGAATTTCAGTTTTTACTTTATTATTATTATTTTTATTTATTCAAACTGTTAAAAACTGTTTCCATCTGTTTCCTCCAAGAGTCTCACAGTCAAGTTCAGGCACAAACCGGAAAAAAAACAAGAGTAATGTGGTCCTAAGGGGACAACACTGACACCTTCTGACCAAAGTTTGTAACTGCAGAGGAAACAAAGCATTTTTTAATAAACAGTGTTATCATGAAGTACAAAAAAATGTGGATGCATCTGTAAATATATTAGATATTTAAATATTGAAATTAAATTTATAATCAAACTACACATCTTTTGTGTAGTTTTGTCATTTCTTTCAACTTTTTTGTCTTTCAAACCCACTTTAAGAAAAAGCAGATTTTCAATACTTTGAACTTGTATCTCAATCAGGAGTAGCACRCACTGAATTCTGGTTGAAAGGAAAACTAATAACATTTTGTAACAGTTTAAACAAACAATAAAATCCAATAAGTCTGGCAAATCTGAAATAAAATTTTAACATTTCAGGTTCGAGTCAGAGAAAAAACAGGAGAACAGCAGTTTAATGTGAATAATCTTTAATGAAGTCATTTATGAAAATTAACAGAACAATAAACAAGTTCAAACAACAAGAACTACAGAAAACATCACAATAAAATTCTCATTAATCATAATATTAATGATAAACTATCTGAGTTTACAGAACTCTGCAGAGTCTCCAGTGTTTATAATCTCAAYYCCAGCGTGGAGCGGCTGAGTGAAGGTGGTCTGGACTCTGTGGAGGAGGGTCATGGTTTCAGAGACCCTGTAGAAGGACAGAACACCTGCTCTGTGGTCCAGGTACACCCCGATCCTGGAGGAACCAGGACCTGAGAGGGAGGTTTGGATGTTGTTGTGGTAGAATWTAAACCTGTTTTGGAAACAAATTAATGCCCAGGATTTGTCATTGTTTCCTAATCTACATTTATTCCCCACTCTGTTGATATTCTTGTAGGCGACTGCTACAAAAACACATTTTCCTCTCAGCTCCACCTCCCAGTAACAACGACCAGTCAGACTCTCTCTGCTCAGAACCTGAAACCACAATCCAGCGAATCTGTCTGGATGTTCGGGATCAGGCTGATGTTCACTCATTAGTGTTATTTTTCTGCCTCCCTCYGACAGTTTCAGCTGTGTGTGTGCTGTGTTTGGATCCAGTGTGATTTCACAGGAATATTTTAAGAATCCAGCTCTGCTCTTTGGTTCTTGTCCTGGTTCTGGTCCTGGTCCTGGTTCTGACAGTAAGACGTCCACCTCAGAGACAGTCAGTGAGATGTTTGTCCACGCGTCTCTCAGGACGTCCTGTAGTT